TTACAACAGATTGTTAGCAGCATTGTAAAACTATACTTACTATCATCATGAGTATATGTGTATTGTTTTGTTGTAGATGAATCCTAAAAACTGTAGATCTAAATCAGAATTGTAACACAGCTTACAATTTCATAAGTTGTTGAATTGATTGGTCGCCATACAGTTAGAGTAATGCGATAAGTTGTATCTTCACTCAAACTGTTGTCATAAAAATCCATTTCATAACTGTTAATAGATCCTGAACATGTTGCTGGTACAGCAGCATTGAGATACCACCTCCCTCCAATGTTACTGACATAATCCACAGATTGGTAGTCATCTCCTACTTTACAAGTTTGCAAGGTATCTAACAGAGCAAAACTTAGAAGTTAAATAGATTCTTAATTAGATCTACCAGCTAAAAGGGCGATAAAAAGTAGAGCAAGCATCTTCACCGAGCTGAGGTAGGAGGGGGTAAGGGGTGATAAACATATTCATAGCACTGCACTATTAAAAGTTTATAAAAGACTATAATTTTCTTCAAAACAATGCAGAAGTATGTATATCAGCAAAAGTATGTATGCATAAAAAGGCCTATCCTATTAAACAGATAAATAAATGAGATAAAAAGTTTAATATAAAGTATCAGATTGTCCAATAGGCACTTCAGCTTCACTGATCTTGGCAACATCATCAGGTGAAAGAGGTACCAACTCGTCCATCTCAACGGACTCCGTTCCCAGCACTGAAGTCCCAATGGCTCTACCTCCTCCTCCTCCTCCTCCAAGATCAGTAGCTTCTTTGTGATAGACTGGATTACTGAAATCAGTCTCATACGGATCAGTAGAGTACAATGGATTACTCTCCTTTATCGGAGGCAGGTCTTGATCATCATCTGATGAATCATCTTGGAACAACTATAAAAATAATGATTACAATAAAAGTGGCTTTAAAAGTACAATACATTATTATCAATAGGTTCTTCTTGGGTTTGTTTGATGCTTAAGCTGTAATACATGTAGATAGCACGCGATATAAAAAGAAGTAGCCAGAGCAAAGCTCCAGATTATAGAAAAAGTGAATCCATTATATTATGACTATTTCATTTGCTTACTGGTTTCTGTATTCCTGGTTTAGGTAATCCAAGCCAACTCGTTTTCTCAATGGTTTTCTTAACTCTTTTCTTTCCTCCTCTCTGTGTCTCCTGTAACTCAATTTCAACTGTCCTTTCGTACTGCATGGCACGCCCAGTCTCAGGATCAATAACCCCGCCATGCATTCGCTCTGTGTATAAAGACAAGGAGGCAATCAACAGTAGAGAATATTATCATAGTTATTATAGACACAGTAACTCAAAAATTATGATAAATTATGCAAGATTAAAATTTTAAAGTATTATAACTGACCATGATGTCCAGACTCATTCAATATATTAGGGTTAGGAAGAAGAGCAGATTCTTTATGTTTGCTGCGTCTATTCTCCTCACGCATCCTGAAAATAAATAA